TGGCATGGGGATGGGAATGTGGGGATAGGGATGTCACCGTGCCCAGATAAATGGGGACAGGGATGGGACCATGACCAGACACATGGGGAGAAGGAGGTCACTGTGTCTGGATGCACGTGAATGGGGATGGGACCACGCAGATACATGGGGACATGGATGGGACCATGCAGGGACACATGGGGATGGATCCCACCTTGTAGGGACACATAGGGACAGGGATGGGATCACCAGGGACACATGGGGATGGATCCCACCTTGTAGGGACACATAGGGACAGGGATGGGATCACCAGGGACACATGGGGATGGATCCCACCTTGTAGGGACACATAGGGACAGGGATGGTAGCGTATAGATACATGGGGACAGGGACCCTCATTGTCCCCACAGTCCCTGAGTACATCCCCAGGCGCCGGGGGCGGGGGGGGAATGACACCCACCCCAGGGTGTGCCCAGCACGTTCTGGTGTGTCCTGGCGTCTTCCATGTGCCAGCCCCAGCGTGAATCACCAGGCGCCTGACGTCAAGGCCTTGGTGGAAGGAAGGAAACCACCCCCCTGGCAGCACGGCTGGGGCGTCAGGGGGACCCCCCCAATGCAACATGCTGATGCAGCCCCTCCCAGCACCCAGATGGGCAGAGGACCCCCCAGACTCAACAAGGAGACCCTCAGATTGGGCAAGGACACCCCAAAGTGGTCAAGGACACCCCCCCAGACTGAACAGGCATTCCCTGAAATGGTCAAGGACCCCCTGCAAATTGAGCAGTGTACCCCCAAACTGGGCACAGACGCCCCCCCCAAACTGGGAACGGACCCCACAAACTGGGCAAGGACCCCCCAAACTGGGCACAGACACCCTCCCAGCTGAGTAATACACCCCCCAAACTGGGAACAGATCCCCCAAACTGGGCGAGGACCCCCAAACCGGGCACAGACACCCTCTCAGCTGGGCACAGACACCTTCCCAGCTGGGTAATATACCCCCCAAACTGGGAATGGGCCACCCAAACTGGGCACAGACCCCCCCAAACTGGGAGAAAGACCCAGAAACTGGGAGAAAGCCCCCCGAAACTGGGAGAAAGCCCCCTGAAACTGGGAGAAGACCCCCCAAAGAGGGAGAAAGCCCCCCCAAACTGGGAGAAAGACCCCTGAAACTGGGAGAGGACCCCCCAAACTGGGAGAAACACCCCCCAAACTGGGAGAAAGCCCCCTGAAACTGGGAGCAGACCCCCTAAACTGGGAGAAGACCCCCAAACTGGGAGAAACACCCCCCAAACTGGGAGAAAGCCCCCTGAAACTGGGAGAAGACTCCCCAAACTGGGAGAAACAGCCCCCAAACTGGGAGAGGACCCCCCAAACTGGGAGAAACACCCCCCAAACTGGGAGAAAGCCCCCTGAAACTGGGAGCAGACCCCCTAAACTGGGAGAAAGACCCCAGAAACTGGGAGAAAGACCTCCCAAACTGGGAGAAACACCCCCCAAACTGGGAGAAAGCCCCCTGAAACTGGGAGCAGACCCCCTAAACTGGGAGAAAGACCCCAGAAACTGGGCACAGACACCCTCCCAACTGGATAATACACCCCCTAAACTGGGAACGGACCCCACAAACTGGGCAAGGACCTCCCCAAACTGGGAGAAACACCCCCCAAACTGGGAGAAGACTCCCCAAACTGGGAGAAACAGCCCCCAAACTGGGTGAGGACCCCCCAGAATGGATACGGACCACCCAAACTGGGCACAGATGCCCTCTCAGCTGGCTAGTACACGCCGCAAACTGGGTGAGGACCCCCCAGAATGGATACGGACCACCCAAACTGGGTACAGACACCCTCTCAGCTGGGTAATACAACCTCCAAACTGGGAACGGACCCCACAAACTGGGCGCAGACCCCCCAAACTGGGGAAGCCCCCCCTCCTCGCCGCGGTCTCTTGGTGCTGCCTCCCCCTGGCGCTCACCCGCGGGACTGCAGGCACCGGGGGCGGGGCTTGAGCGGTGGGGGCGTGGCTTGCAAAGGTGTGGCCCTTCATAACCGTGGCTACAAGGCCCGCCCATCTTTACAGTTGATTGGCAGGCAGGTGGGCCAATGGGGAGACATCCCCCAAAAGCTCCAGGTCCCCAGGCATCTCTGACCCATGGGCTCCTTGTCCCCATGGCTCCACGTCTCCCTGAAGCTCCCTGACCCACAGGCTCCATGTCCCCAGGAATCACAGAATGGTTTGGGTTGGAAGGGACCTTAAAGACCATCTAGTTCCAACCCCCCGGCCACGGGCAGAGACGCCTTCCACTAGACCAGGTTGCTCCAAGCCCCATCCAACCTGGCCTTGAACACTGTCAGGGATGGGGCATCCACAACCTCTCTGGGCAACCTGTTCCTTGGCCTCATCACCTTGGTGCTCTCTGTCCCTTCCTTTGCCCCCAAGGACCCACAACCTTTGGCCCATGTCCCCAAGGACACCATGGACACGTACTCCTCAACCCACAGCTGCCATGTCCCCAGAGGATCCCCAATCCATTTTCTCCACAAGAATCCCTCGGTGACCATAGGTCCACATAAGGTGCCACCCTTCTGGCAAGAAAGAAGAGACATAGGGCCGATCTGAAGCTGCTTTATTGGCCACGTTAGGATGGGTTGAGCGCGGACACGGGGGCTAAGCTGGCCCCAGAACAGTCACAAATACAGCACAGGCAATAATAATAATAATAACAATAATAATAATAATAATAATAATAAAAAATTAAACATCTCCTGGGGGCTGGCAGCCCCACGCAACAAAAATATATATATATAATATAGAGAGAGGACAGAGTCAACGCACTGGCGAAGCTTGGTCACAAGAGAGGGACGGCGCAGGGTTGGGGACACCGGAGCCACCAGCGGGACCCGTGCAGGCAGGGTGGATGGGGCAGAGCCGTTCACAGTTGGGTGGGGGACAAGCAGGATGGGAATCCACCCAACATTGTGGGTGCTGCAGAGGTGACCTGGAGGCCCAGCATCAGCAGTGGGGCTGGGACACCCAAGGGGGATGGGGACATGGAGTGTGGACACCATAGCAGGGGTGGAGACAACACATAGACACTCCCCCACCCCCAGCATGATGGAGATTTGGCAGGGGCACCTCTAAGGTGATGGAGAAGCTGCAAGAACCCCCATGGGATGGTGGAGATGCAGCATGGGCACCTCCAGGGTGATAGAGATGCTGCAAAGACCCCCCCTAGGGCAACTGGGGACACAGCAGAGACATCTCCAGGGTGATGGAGATGCTGCAAGGACCCCATGGCATGGTGCAGCTGTGGCACAGACACCTCTAAGGTGATGAAGGTGCCACAGGGACTATCCAAGGGAAATGGAGATGCAGCATGGACACCTCTAGGGTGAAGGACATGCCACATAGATCCCCCCTCAGGATGATGGAGATGACAGACATCTCCAGTCTAGCAGAAATGACACAGGGACCTTCCTGGAGTGAGGGAGATACAGCATGGCCATCTCCAAAGTGATGGAGATGGCACAGGGACTCCCCTCAGAACTATAGAGATCAGGCACAGACACCCCTAAGGTATCATAGATGCCACAGGGATCTTCCTGGGGTGACTGAGATTGGGCATGGACATCTCCAGAGTGAAGGAGATGCTGCATGAATCCCCATGGAATGATGGGGATCAGGGACAAAACACCTCTAAGGTGATGGAAACACCACAGGGACATTCCCAGGGTGGTGGAAATCAGGCATGGACATCTCCAAAGGGATGGAGATGCTGCATGAATCCCCATGGAATGATGGGGATCAGGGACGGACACCTCTAAGGTGATGGAAACACCACAGGGACATTCCCAGGGTGATGGAAATCAGGCATGGACATCTCCAAAGGGATGGAGATGCTGCGCAAAACCTCATGGGGTGGTGTGGATCAGGCACAGACACCTCTAAGGCAATGGAGATGACAAAGGGACCTCCCCGGGTGGTGGAAATTGGGCAGGAACATCTCCAAAGGGATGGAGATGCTGCATGAACCCCCATGAGATGATGGGGATTGGGGACAGACACCTCTAAAGCAGCCGGGATGCCGCAGGAACGATGGAGACACATCACGGACACCTCCAACACACCAGCCCCATCACTGACACCTCGCATTCAGGCGCCAAAGCTGCCCTTCAGCCTCACCAACACCCCAACCCCTGGGCCAACCAATCAAAAAAAAAAAAAGGGGGGGGGAGGGAAGCCAAAAACCACAAAAAACACCACCCGGGGAGGGAGGAGGTGCCCATTTTTGGGGGGACCCCATTCACAACGCGAGGAGCGAGGGAGAATTCAAGGAGTCCGAGGACTGGTCGCTGCTGCTGCTCCGCTGATGCGAGGCTCCGCAGGTGGTTCCCTCTGGGTGGGTGAACACAAACGAAGACGTATAGGATGGGTTAGGTGGCCCTGAGGGGACCCCGGGCGCGAAGCAGCAGCTGGGGAAGGGGCCCTGGGCGCTCGGCTGGAACGGACCCGGGGGTAGGAAGGCGACGGTCCCCGCCGGCTCTTCCTTGCCCAGGGTGCTCACCTCGGCGGGGCCGGCACCCAAGGAGCCGACATCCTCGAAGGGGAGCTTGCAGGCAGGGGCATGGGCCACCAGGACGAACTCCAGCCGTTCCTTCTCCTTCTGCAGCTCCGCGATCTCCGACTCCAGCTCGGCTTTCTCCTCCTCCAACTGGTCCGTTTCCTGAAGTGGCAGTGGGGTGGGGTGAGATGGGCTGTGGGGGATGCCACTGTCCATCTGTCCGTCGTGTCCCCCGTCATCCCCCCCCCCAACCCAAGCCCTGAGGACATCCTGGCCTCCAGGATGGGGTCGTTCCTCCCTCCAGCATCGCTGGCTACCTATACATCCCCCCCTGATGTCCCCTGCTCATGGGGACAGCACCACCCCTCCAGCATCCCCAGATCTCCACCTGTCCCCCTCCAACATCCCTTGCTCATGAGGACACCACTGTCCCCCTCCAGCATCCCTGGGTGTCCACCTGTCCCCCTCCGATGTCCCCCTGCTCCCAGGGATGGCATCCTCCTCCAGCATCCCTGTGTGCTCTCCCACCATGTCCCCTGCTCCTGGGGATGGCATTGTCCCCCTCAGACATCCCTGGGCATCACTGTGTCCCCTCTGATGTCCCCAGGATCTGGGGATGTTGCCATCCCCTCTGGACATTGAGCTGTCCTCCTCTGCCATTCCCAGCTGCCAGGAGTGGTCCCCTTCTCTGATGTCCCTGGTTCTTGGGACATATCATCCCCCCTCCAACATCCCTGGCCATTGGTCTGTCCCCTTTGATGTCCCCAGCTCCCAGGGACAGTCTTGGTCCTCTGTAATGTCATCATCCCCAGGGATCAGGCTGTCCCCCTCCAAAGTTCCCAGCTCCTGGGAACACTGACGCCTCCCTCCAAGGTCCCTGGCTCCCTGAGATCTGCACCCATAGGGAAACTGGCCTGTCCCTCTCTGATGTCCCCAGCTCCCCTGTCCCTCTCTGATGTCCCCAGCTCCCAGGGACACCACTGTCCCCTTCCAGTGTCCCTTGATCCTGGGGACACTGTTGTCCCCATCCAAGATCCCTAGCTCTTCAGGGCAGACACCCATAGGCATCCATCTGTCCCTTCCAATACAGCCAGGTCCTGGGGACATCAATCCCTCTGGTGTCCCTTGGTTTTGGGGACAGCACTGTCCCCCTCTAGTGTCCCCAGCTCCCTGGAATCAGGGTCTTCAGGCATCAGTCTGTCCCCCTGTGATGTCCCCAGCTCTGAGGGCATCATCATCATAATCCCTTTCCAGTGCCCCTTGGTCCTGGAGACACCACAATCCCCATCTAATGACCCCAGCTCCCCAGGATCTGCATCTGTGGGCATCACTCTGTCCCACTCAAATACATCAAATTCCTGGGGACATTGTCAGCCTCTTTGTGTCCCTTGGCCCTGGGGACACCACTTTCCCCATCTAGTGTCCCCATTTGCTCCTGTAGGGATCAACCTGTCCCCTTTCAACAAGCCCAAGTCAACCATCTCCTTCCAATGTCCCCATGACCTGGGGACACCACTGTCCCCAGATGTCCCTGGACACCTGCCCCCATAGACATCAACCCATCTCCCCCGTGATGTCCTCAGCCATTGGGGACATTGCCATCCCTCCACCATCCCAGGGAGCCACCACTGCCTCCCTCAGACACCCCCAGCTGCGGTGACACCGCCATCCCCAGTGTGTCCCCAAGCACTCACCGCCTGCAGCCGATCCGTCAGCTCCCGGCGCCGGTTACGGCACTTGGCTGCTGCCAACTTGTTCCTCTCCCGCCGCACCCGGCGCTTCTCCTCCTCCTCTGGCGTCAGCTGCCAGAGGGACAAGACCATTAGCCAGCTGCCACCCATGTCACCAGGGTCCCCCCCCCCTCGGGGTCACCAACCCCCCCCCCCCACCCCCCCCACCCAGGGGATAGGGACGCCACTCACCGTCTCCTCGCGGCTGCGCCGGGGACGGGCACGAGCAGGACGTGCCGGCGGTGCTGCCGGCCCTGTGGCAAAGGCACCCATGCCCGGCGTAGAGTAGCTGGGTCCTGGGAGGTCATAGGGATCGACGGGAGGGGGGTGCGCCATGGGTGCCCCTGGGGGCTGCGACTGGGCTACTGAGGAGATGAGGGTGGGCTGCACCAGCCACTGCAGGTCCTGGCTGGTGGTGATGGCCGTCACCGTGGGCACGAAGGAGCCGGGCATGTCCCCCAGGCCGCTGCACTCCTGTGGAGATGGTGGGTGGGGGGTTAGACCCTGCCTGACAGCACCTATGGCACTGCCACCCTCCCACTCTGCACCACAGCCTCGTGCCCCTGTCACCGACGTGCAATGCCCTCGTGTCCCCAGCACTGACACACGATACCCTTGTGCCCCTGGCACCAACGTGGTGCAAGAGCTCCCTGGCACCCATGCACAATGATCCCTGACCTGCAAAAGTTCCCTGGCACTGATGCACAATGCCCTCGTGCCCCTGGCACCAATGTACAAATACTTCCTGGCACTGACGTGCAAGAGCTCCCCAGCACGGAGGCCTGACGCCCTTGTGCCCCTGACACCAACATGCCATATGCCCTCAGGTCCCTGGCACAGATGTGCAAGCCCTTCCAGGCACCAACACATGATGCCCTTGTGCCTCTGGCACCCACGTGCAAGACCTCCCTGGCACCACAGTGCAATGACCTCGTGCCCCCGGCACAGACGTGCAAGAGTGTCCTAACACCCATGCATGACACCCTCGTGCCCCTGGCACCCATATGCAAGGCTCCCTGTCCCCCACCAGCAATGTGCAAGAGCCCCCCCAGCCCTGATGCACGAGGCCCTTGTGCCTCTGGCACTGTTGCATGAGGCCTCCAGCACTTGTGCACTGATGTGCAACCCCCACCCTCCCCAGGCCTTGCACACGAAGGGCCCCAGCACTCAGCTGAGGTGCCCCTGTCCCCCCCAGGGGTACCCCTTCTGCCTCCAAGCTGTTTGCAGCTGGCAGCACCCCCCTTCACTGCACCACGACACCCCCGCTTTGCACCGGGACCTCGCACACTGCTGGCGCACCCCAAAGTCGTTGGGGGGGTGGGGGGTCTGAGGGGACCCCCCAAAAATCGCACCAGGACCCAAATCCCATATGGAGGGGGGGCGGGCCCTGAGCCCCCCTCCTCCCCTTTTCCCGGTTGCACCGGACCCGGTGTATGTGTGGGCAGGGGTGTGTTGCACCGGGAGGGGCGGGATGCATCGCTCCCCCACCCCCCGATTCCCACGGGGGGAGGACCTGCACCGACCACGAACCGGCTAACCCCGGGTTGCACCGAGACCCGAATGGGAGGGGGTGCCCTGACCCCCCCCCCCGCCCCCCAGGTTGCACCGGGACCCGGCTGGGTCGGGGGTGGTGGTGGTGGGAAATACACCGACTCCCTCCCAGTTCACGCGTGGGACGAGCCCGATCCGCAGCAGCGCGCCAGCGCCGGCGGGGGGGGGGCGTGGCCTATCCACGCGGTGGGCGTGGCCGCGCGGTGAGGGGGCGTCTCCCGCCCCCTTAGCAACAGGGGGGGGCGGCCCTCCGGCGTTCCAAAATAAACCCGCGCGCCGCCGTACGTGCGCCGCGTCATCACGGAGGGTTCCAACGCGTCACGCGTTTACGCACGACCCCGCCCCCTTGGCGCCAC